CCCCCCCCCCCCCCCTCCCCTCTTTACTGTAGATATTTCGTTATACCAAAATTGGATGCCCTCTTTTAGAACCCTGGCTAAAAGTCTGCCTGGTAGGAATTAATCCTGCGGCCCTGCGATTCCGGGGCAGTGCTCTAACCAACTGAGCCACAGAGGCCAGTTGCTGAGTTCTAGCCACAAGTTCATGTATTTTAGAAAACAAACTTGAGTTACTTCATATGAACTTTAATTAACCCATTAAGCGGCAGAGCTTCCCCACTGACGAGTAAAATCGTCTGGCGTTAGACAAGTAAAAAAAATAAGTAGGGCGCACTGGGGCGCATTGCCACTCAATGGGTTAACTAGAGACATTGTCATATTTTTTGGGTTAACCCATTAAGCGGCAGAGCTTCCCCACTGACGAGTAAAATCGTCTGGCGTTAGACAAGTAAAAAAAAATAAGTAGGGCGCACTGGGGCGCATTGCCACTCAATGGGTTAATTCAGTACAAATTTATTTCGTATGACAAGACGAGTCTTGCCAGTTTGTCTTCTAATCGTATTAGCTGTCCTACGGTATTGAGCACTCTACTCATATATGATTAGAATATATATACTGTATATATATTATATATATATATATATATATATATATATATATATATATATATATATATATATATATATATATATATATATATATATATATATATATATATTAAGGTATGTTAAGGTATGGGTATAAATATTAATATTTTGTTGGCATCTCACTCGAATTAATGGTTGATGTGTTTTTTGATGGAAAAGATCGAGTGGAAAAATTCTATATTTATTTTACCTAACCAGGAACAGTTGCAAAAAAAGGCAACTACAGGTCCCTGGCAGGAATTGAACCAACTAATAATTGTATGTAAAATTGCATGGTCTGCATGCCGAAAAGCAATCGATGGAGCGATTAGAAAACTTAGAATGCAGACAAAGTGAATAATACTGTTTACAGCAGTTTCAGACCTGTGATACACAACCACCTCACGCTTGATAGCAATATTTAGTTGTTTTTGACATTTAAGCGTGGCCGCTAATTCATGCAATTATATCAGAAACATCGACAACTGAATTTAAAGTTTGATCACGACTCACAAATTTTATGATTTTTCGTGATGACTAGATCATATCCGACAGAAAGAGATGAAGGGTTACAATTACATCTTGAAACTGGGTTATATTGCACCTGAAATTGCTGTATAAATATTTACATAATACTCCCTTAGGTTTTAAATATTAATGTACTTATTATAAACAGATGTAACTCATGTAGGATAAACTTAGGTGGTTGACATACTTTATGTATCTAGATACTCAATTGTAATATTTTTCCATATTTCCTTATTGTAAAATATATTTGAAACAAACATCCAAGTTACTATTTTTTTGAAAGTGTGTGTGAATGTTAACAAAGAAAATTTGCTAGTCAAGGGAAGACCATGATTGTGCCTTAATTAACCAGTTAAGAAAACTATCAACCAAAGTGCCAGTTGATCTAACCAATTTCAATTTCTATGATTTATAATTTTTCTGCAACATGGGTTTATTTCTATGATTTTGGAATGTGCGGGAAGTGCATGAAGCCTTCACAAGTATTTTACTCCTTGGAATTGCTATCTGCTCTACCAATGTGAATTGTGTGACAACTGGTTTCACATGATTTGTGAACATGTACTGAGAACGAACCTGAAGGCGAGTGACTCTGCAGAGGATGTGAACTTCCATCACCCAGCACAAAACGCTTGAAACTTTAAATGAACGTTGAGACTTTCATGCTAATCACATGCTATTGTTAATAAATTTGTTATTATATTGTTATTAGCTAATAAATATTGTGCAAACCTTTCGTAAATGTTTGATCCCAGTTTGGCATTACTTTAGTATCGTTAGATTTTTAGGCGAAGCTGGTTATTTTGATCTCGAGAATATGTATATTATCTATAATTTCATCATAGATAGTCCATAACTACTCGTATAATTAATTCTTAAATCGAAAAAATTCTTCTTTCTGTGAATTTTAGGGGGTCCAATTCCGCGGAAGGGGGTACATATCAGCTAGCGGATGTGTACCGTAGGGGTCCGAATCCGCTAGCGGATATGTACCGGGGGGTCCATATCCGCGGGGAGTCCAAATCCGCTGTGACACCGGAATCACAGGGCCACAGGTTTGATTCCTGTCTAATAATTGTATATAGCATTTTCCACTCAATCATTTCAATCTACAAAACTGTCAACCATTAAATTGAGTGAGATGCCAACAAAATATTAATATGAGCAGAAAAATCTATTTTGACTTTGGACATATTCAAATATATATAGATATATATATATTCAGGATTTAGCATCTTTGTTTTGCAGTCCGTTTTAAAAAGTTTATCAGTTTATATAATATATTCTACCTATACTCTTTTTCGTATTGTTTACATTATACGTAGTTTATAGAAAACGACAAAGAACCCAACATTACATTGAGCGAAATACGAACCTTCAGTGGATGCTTTGGCCGGCCTTTGCGCTTTGGTTGACTTCCATCTTTCCGAAAGCAAATCCTAGCATGTTGTTCGATTTGCACGCTGGTTTCGTCTGTGAAGATAATGTTTTCGAACTTTTCCTTCTCACGTAAGGCCTTCAAACAGAAAGCCAGTCGTTTCATCTTGTTGGGTTCACGTACGAACTGGCAATACCTCGCATTCTCTTTCTTCCAGCCTAATTTTCGCCTTGCTCGTCGAATTGTCGCTGTTGACACATCCATGTCGCAATCTTTGGCAACCTTTTCTTTCAATTCCCGTGAAGTCAATTCGTCATTTTCCTTCATCTTTTCGTCCATGTAATCGACATGTTCTTGTCTTAATTTCGGCTTTCGGCCACTTCGACGAGCATCGTTGAGGCGACCAGTCTTTCGATATCGCGAAAGAAAGAGCGAAATTGCTGTGATTGAAGTGTTAATTCCTTCCTCCAGTAGAACTTCTTGTATTTTTTTGTTTGAATTTTCGGCGGATTTTAAAGAAATCACTCCTTTTCTTGCATACAAAGAAAGCTTTGCCATATTTGTAAAATGTGTTTCTCTGGAATGCTATAAATCGGAAATTCGCGATAATTTCCGAGTATTGTCGAACTGATTACGATTCAATTGTTCTGAAAAAGAAACCCTTTCTAGAACGCGTTCGGAAGGTCTCGCGGAACGCGTTGTGAACGCGTCTGGAACGCGTCTAGAACGCGTTCTAGAACGCGTCTGGAACGCGTTCTCGAACGCGTCTGGAACGCGTTCTAGAACGCGTTCTCGAACGCGTTCAGAACGCGTTTTTCATTAGGTTACTTCTGAGCAGTACTGCATGTAGTCGCCCAAAAATAAATAACTTGGTCTTTGTGCTACATTTGAACTTAAACATCCAGTGCTACAACTCTTGCTTGCAATGCAATGCAATGTTAAAATCGTTATACTATCTGTGCTCCGTGCAAGTACGCATGCATGCATACATCCTGGCATGCTCAAGCATTTGACCTTGCTTTGGGTGTATTGGCTGCAGAAACCAGTTCTAATTTGGTTCAATTTTTCGCATACTTATTGCATTTTCAAGAGGGCTACCGTAAGCATTGCACGCAAAGTACTTAAAATTAAGGAAAGAGCACAGCCGGTGTGGATATAACTTAAGTGCTTTGTTTACCATGCTATTCTGGGAGAAATGAAATATTTTTATCATTACAATTAATTTCTTTGTTCACAAATACAGTTACTTGGCAAAGTCTGAATGCAAAGCCAAAAGTTCCATGTTGTCCAAAATTCCATTTTCAGATTTTTCCAAAAAATTGTTACATGTTCATTTGTGAATTAGTAGATTAATAACTGGTGTGCATGATTTCATTCAAGCTATTTTAACAAAATGTATTGGATATGGATAATATTATAAATATGTTGGGTATCTGTCAATTAATACGTATTTGGAAATCCCAGTGCCTTTAAGACAAACGTTTCTAGCTCGTTTAGAAGTGAAGACCATATCAATTTTTCAAGGAACTTTTCCCATTCGAACAAAAATCTCCTTTGCTTGAGTTTCTTTTGCTAACAGCCTTCCGATCTTGTGACCTAATCTGCATATGCTATTCATTGGGTTGATTTTAGGACTTTTTACTGGCTCCTTAAGCATTGCAGCACGGTTTTTGGTTTTCAAAACCTTTGCTTGCCCTTGGGTGACGATAGATCACACAAATGCTTGGATACGTTTTTATAAGATGATAAACGAGAAACCAGAAATTGTGCAACAAGACTTGCAATAAAATGTCATAACCTTAACCCAATGGAGAATCCATGGATATTTTCTGAACTCGAGGTTGCTTTCGGAGAGAATGGAAATAAATATCCAGAAAAATCTTGGGTTAATCCGTACCTACAGGGATTTGCAACTACATATTGACAGATATACGCCCTTCATATTTTTAATATTATCCGACACATTTTGTTTGAAATAGCTTAAACGAAATCATGCTCACTAGTTATTGAACTAAATGTACAGTTAAAAATATAGTAACTTATTTGAAAAGTTTTCGGTCTTGCATTCAAACTTTCGGCACGTGACTGTAGGTCTTTGTTCCCAATTAATTTTCGAAATGTCCCGCAACAAGTTGCGTGTGCACGTGTTCATTGAGCCACGCGTAATTTGAAATAATTTTCAATGTCTATAGCAGCCACATAACAGGTGAAAAAACGATAAAAACAAATACGGCAAAGAGAAAGTTGAAATCGATTTCCGTCCACTCTAAGACTCTTCCCAATGTCTATAGCTATAGCCACATAACAGAAAAAACACAAATACGGCAAAGAGAAAAATTGAAATTGATTTCCGTCCACTCTAAGACTCTTCCCAATGTCTATAGCTGTAGCTAGGCACATAACATGTAACTAAACGAGAAACAAACAAATACGGAAAATAAAAAAATTGAAATTGATTTACGTCCTGTATGCTACAAAACATCACGGCTACCAGTCGAGGTTGTACCGGTATTACAGTTAAAAAACTTTGGCTAGTAGGCCTAGTAGTCAAGCGTAGCCAAGGTTTTTTTTAGCTGTAGTACAATAGTGTACCAGAGACAAGCGGCGGCTGGCAGCCGTAAAAACCTTGGGAGGTAGCCGTGACGTTGTATGTAATGCTATAGAATACTACAGACAGACTCGGCTGTTAGCCGTATTGCATTAATATATATTATTAACTCATGATTAATTAAAGAGTAGATACGGCTGTCCTGGTTTATGTACCCTTGGTCACCAACGATTTCAATGTATACATATTTACGCAATCATAATTCGCAATTTTATCTGCCGGTTAAATATATTAACCGCCGGATAGGAAATTTATCCGCTGGATAGCGGCTATAAACGGCGTCAAACGTATTTCGAACAACCGTCCCCTGTACATTAAAGATCGAATTGTTAAAAATTGCTGAGTTACAATTTCAGAGTAATCTTGCCTTCATTGGCTCGTAAAACTAATACTGTTACCTGAATTTTGAACGGAGAAATGAGACTATAATGTAAAAGACACGTAGATAGCACGTATGGCTGGTAGATGCAAGGAAGCAAATGCTTCAGATATTATCTGCATGCGTATAACAATTATAAATATTAATGCAGGAAAAATTTGTTAAGCAGGATGCTCCTATACAAGTGTTTGCGCCTTTCCGACACTTGAGAATTTTTTCCACCTGGACGGAAATATAAATCAGTTTTCTTATTGTTATTGTTGAATTTTCCTTTTAACCCCAAGAATATAAACTCGCGCTGTGAAAGGCAAGTGTTCATTGCGAAACCGTTGTTTCTGAGGGACAGTTGAGGATATTAGCGAAATTAAACTATACTGTACCTATAATTATCAAGGTTTGCTGAAATTCTATCGTTTTAGTTCTCACACGAATAATAATATATTGTCTGTAGTAGTGAGAACTTGCTTTTTTTAACATAACATTACTGTGACGTTTCTCTGTATAACATCATGGAAAAATTCGATAGTTTTTTCGAAAGCCTTAACATTTCGGAATCATCTGTGCTGAATATAAAAAAGAAAAACAAAACCTGATACAAACACCAGTCTATATATTCGTAATACCATAGCTATTCTATGCATTTATATTATTACACCTTCCTTACATTGAAAATACTCAAATTTCAAGAAAAACGCGCTAAAATTGTCAATATCTCAGGCAAAAAATTGTTTTGAGCATTGGACATTTCGAAGTTCGTATATTAATAAAAAAACATATGCCAGCAGATGACATATTCCTCGAGGAAGCATCGCCAAAAGCCGACCGTAGAAAATAGTAGAAAATTACCTTATGTGTACTATAAGAATAAAATACTATGTGTGAAGTTTCTAATGGGGAGGGGGGTCTCCAGAGAAACGAACACATGACGTTTCTCGTGGACAAAATCGATATGTGAGGTTTCCTTTAATTGGAATGGGTTTTAAGTTTGTTTTTCAGGGGCCATGGTCAGAGAAGCAGAACATCCTTTGTCAACACATGCATAAAAAAATTTTGGATTTTGACCAATAAATGTGGAAATAAGCTTAAAGGGATATGGGCAATGAAAAAATTAATCAAGTTTGTCTTATTTGAAAGAACAGTGATATGGGCAGTAAAAATTAAGTTTATCTTATTTGAAAGAACTTTTATAGTTATGTATGAAGACCCTTTACAACTTTTTCGTACCTTGCTTGGTTTTCGAAATATTTTGACCAAAAACAGATGCAGTCCACCATCTTGGTATTATGATTAACTGCGTTTTTTGATGACGTGAAAGAAGGGTAACACGGTGGTCGTTTGTTATTCATTTCCTGTTTCGTCTCCAGTCGCTTGCTATCAAATAATTAATTAGGAAAAAACGAAAATTAATGGGGCGCGCGGAAAGATGGGAAGGGGAGGAGTTGCGGCGTCTTTATCGGGCTTGCAATGCACGCGCTGATCTATATATTACTGATATTTAAATTTGATCTATACAGAGGAGCCTGCGGAAGAGGCAGATGCATTCTGCTCCCGGAAGCGCGGGCTTCGTTTTTTCCAGCGATGTTGGTGTGAATGCGAAATGGCGTTGTTTTACTTTATAATCGGAAAGGTCATATATTTGGCTTAAAATTTCTTACGGTTAGAACGAATTTGTTGGGTATATTTTAACTGATTTATAAACTTCACTATTCAAATGGAACGATTGTGATAATTTTATTTAGCTGTCAAGTAAGTTAAATGACAATCGGAACTATTAAATGCCGTCGAATAACTCTAGCCTGCGCCGCAGACGATATATCATATTTGCTCCCGTATAGTTTATCTTTCATATTACGGAACGCAAACCAAATAACCAATGTACAGACTGTTCCTCTTTTCGCATAAATTCGTGTTTCTAAGTCCATCAGTATATGTAGGTAATTTTGGGGAAATTGTCTGATGCTGCTAATACAATGTATATATCTATTTTAAGTAATATACCGACAGTCGACAGAGAAACATACTGACTGTTTTGGTTGGCGACAACAAATCTAGCTATAGTTCACGCAAGAATTTGTTTGATGAATATGTTCTATTATAAAACGCTTTCATTTTATATTCGTGTATGATGTATTTTTGAGATATATAAACACATACTTCCATTGTATAGATGACAATATATATAGCAGATTTAGCTACAGTGCAATCATACCTGCCAAGTATACTACAGTCTATAATTTATACTGCGCAAGAAACGCAACCACATAACTAGTAATAGTAACATACAGTATACTAGTGATTTAAATTCCTTAAGATACGCAGCTTTCCCTGAAACAGATTTCATGTCTTTGCGCACACTTAATTTTATCATTTAGTTACAATTCCAAACGTTTTTCATGATGGTTTTTCTGTGAGAAAAATACATACATATATCATTTAAACATATATCATAGTACATTTGCGGGCCGCAAATGATTTGCCAATTGTATCAGATTACCATGGCATGCTTGTGATGTTACTCTGTGAGCGCCTGCGAAATGTTGACCAGCAGGATTCCGAAGAGTCGCCATATTGTTTTATGGACGTACGTTGTAAACACGTTGTGTTATACTCTTAGATTGTAAAAGATAAATAAAGTTTGTTATTTATACGGGTGACTATCACATTGGTGGCAGCGCTAAGAGTATATATAAGTAACCCACGTGCTAAAGCAGCGATATAAACGACGAAACAAACATGCCAACGGACGAAAAACCGATCGAAACAAAGCTTAGGGCAACATTTGGCGCCACGGTCACGCCAGACGAATTTGAGAAATTTGAAGCTGCATGGACGGTAGCCAAGCGTGCAAATACAAATACGAGTGCAACCAACAAGCCTGTTCGGTGGTCGTCTCCAGAAGGACGAGCGAACATGTTATTGGCCCAATTGACGGACAGTGTTCTAGTTTGGGCAATTCGTCAACCGAACGAAGTCCAATCCAATGATACTGAGCTGCTAAAGGCACTACGCGAGAAATATGCCAAAATAAAATCTCAGGAAGCCTACCAGCAAGACTGGGCGAATATATCTCAACAGCCAGGTGAGAAATTTGATGATTATTATAACCGTCTTGAAGTAGCATACGATAATGCATACCGAGACCCTGAATTTCGTGACGCAAAGGTGAAATCTCGATTGTTAGCTGAGAAATTTCGTGATTCTATACGTGATATACGGGCTAGAGAGAGCATATTAGATAAAGGAATTCTCGATGACACTGGGAAATTAAAAGATTCTGTAGTAATTATTGGTATTGCAAAAAGGGCAACAGAAGTGGGGGATCTCCTCAAGTCAGGGGCTACTGTAGCCCAACTATCCCCCCCTAATCAGACGGAACTTGAGTCCATGATTAGCAAAGCGGTTGTTGCAGCCCTACAGCAAAAGAGACCGTCTCCACCCTACCAAGGTCATAGTGGAAATACTCCGAGCAAGTTTTGGCATTGTCATTATTGCAATACCACCAACCATCCCGGGGGTGGAAGGCCTGCCCAGATAGGCGTAAATATAATCCCTCCTGGACTCCAAGACGGCAAAAACCTAGGGCGGGCGGAGTTCAACAAGCAGATGGGGAACAACCTGCCGACCAGGATTTTCGCCCAAACCCGTAGCCGAGGGTGGCGGTTGCGGGACAAGTCCCATACCACCAGTACCCAATAAAGAGTCAAAGGAAAAACCCTGTCAGCAGACCGATGATGGGCTGGGTACTGTAGAGGAGTTGAAAGCGATGCAACGGGGGAGACAGACAAAATTAAGTAGAGGGGACTCTGAAATGGATGGGCCTTATGAAAGGAGAAATGAAACGATTAAACATTTACGGGGGGTGTTAAAACGCAGCCCTTTTGTACGTGCCCGTTGGGGTATTGGCAGCAAGGAGGTCAGTTTATTACTGGACACTGGGGCTGAAGTCAGTTTAGTGGACGAAAGTGTCTTAACAAATGATGAGCGTAAGACAATGAAAGAACCAGACACAAAACCGCCCCAGGGGGTGAGCGGTGAAGTCATTAACATTGTGGGTACCCTTACAAAAACAGTGAGAGTGGGTGGTCAAGTAGTAAGAAATCATAAGTTCTTTGTGGTCAAGAACTGTATTGTTAAATATCTAGCAGGGATTGACTTTATATTTCGCTTGGGGAGAGCGACCTGCGACCCCAAAAGGGGACAATTATACATACATGAGACGGGGCAGAGTACGAAACTTGAGACCATGTACCGTCCTGAAAGTGGAATAAATCGGGGCGCAGCTTGTGATGTACTAGTCAAGGAAGACGTTATTGTGGAGCCTGGTAAAGAATGTTTAGTTAAATGTGTGGCAGACAAAGCATTTAGAGGTCTGGACTACATGGCAGCACCAAACACCTCCCCAGGGGATGAACTTATTCGCCCTGCATGTTGTATTGTTAGGGTAGATATGAATAGAGAACTATGGCTCCGAGTCATCAATGTTAACAAAGTTAGTGAAACCCTTCGAAAGGGGGAAAAGATTGCCCTATTAGACCCAGAGTTTGAAACCACTTTTCCAGGTCAACACATGAAAACTAAACCAACTGACCGAGTTACTGGGTATAAAGGAGATGAAAGACTCGATTCTAGGAAACAGAAAGAGGTTGACAAACTTCTGACAGAATTTTCTGACGTGTTTTGGAAACCTGGTGACCGTCTCCCATCTGTCCAGGGTTTGGGGAAGCATTGTATTAGACTCAAACCAGATGCGAGACCAGTTGGTATGAGACCGAGACGGTTATCCCCAAAGGAACGGAAGAAGAGAACAAAAACGGCAATGAAACGGCCATTCGAGATTGGGGAAGGAGTTCGAACTCGTCTCACAGCTACAGAACGGAACAAACTAGGCGGTAAGAAGCTGGCAGATTTGAAGAGTAAACGATTTATAGTATTAGAGCGCCACGGCAACACTTACAAGCTGCAAGAGGAAAATAACCCGTCCGGACGTGTGAAACAAAGGCATTTTAACGAGCTGGAGCCAGCCCCACCACAAGTCCTGTCGTGGGAAACTGAAG